CGGCTCAGGCCTCCATGGTTCCGCCGCTCAGCGGCTCCGGCTCCGGCTGAGCTCCGGCCCCAGAGATGTCGGTGCGGAGACGCGGGGGCCGGGATGAGAAGAGGGAAGCGGCTGAGGACGCGGCTAGGAACTGAACGGCCGGGCGCGCACCAGCAGCAGGCGGTCCCGTGGCACGCCAGACGCGTGGGCTTCTGGGAAATGTAGTCCTTCTGGCGTTCCTTCCTCCTAGCGTCTCCCGGGCAACCACATAGCCACGTGGCAAAGTGCAGATGCCTCAAACTCCAGGCTCCTGGGAGCGAGAGCGCCTGTACTGGTAATTTAATTGAGATTAAGGGCCCTGTTCGTTCCTGTTGAATAACCACACCAACGTCGAACAAATCTTTTGCGGACAATGAAGAACTGAAAAATAAAATATTTTTAACGGAAAGATCTGGACCCTTCAGCAATATAATCAGGATGAGTCCCACCAGAATGAGAATCACTATCGTGTAGCGCCAAAAGTATGGTATTTGCCTGCGAGGCTAAAGAAGGATTGTTCCGAGTTCGAGGTCAGCATGGGCTGCATAGTGAACGACAAGCCAGCCGCAGCTGCAGAGCAAGAGCCTGTCTCAAAACAAAACCAATAGTATGGAATCGAACCTGTAATCGCAGTACTTGAATGATGAAGGTCATTCTGCTATATAAGGAGGCCAGCCAGGCTACACGAAACACTGTCTTTATAGGAAAAATACGGAATTTTAAGTCAAATGACCTCAGGTCACCAAATGAACACCTTTGAGTATTTTAGCTCCCCTCATCTAAAATATGTACATAATTGCAGCCATTGCGGTAACAACCATCCACGTTATGGACTGTTTCCTATGTGCCGTTCACCGGCATTTTTATTTTTCTAAATAACCCTATGAAACAGCTATCGCTATTACTTCCACCGTATAATCGCCATGTGCCAACATTCTCTGTAAAGTGCTGTATAAATATTAGACTTCACTTTTCCATCTATTTATTTATCGGGAGGAGCAAGTGCATGCCGCGGAACAAGTGGGGAGGATGGGGGACAACTTGTGGGAGTTGATTTTCTCCTACGCGTATGGAGCCTGGGATGGATTCAGGTCATTGGGACTGGCAACAAGAGCCTTTCCCCGCTGAGCCGTTTTGCCAGCTTGGACATTCTTTGACAGTATCAATTGCCAGTAACTTCCCTGAGCTTGCCGAACATACTAAAACACGAGGCGCCTGAGGATCTAGCTGAAAAGAGGAAGGCACACTTGCCCAGCCATTGGAAAGAATGGTACAGCTGTCTACTGACTGGAAAGCGTGTTTGTGAAAGGTAGACATAGCGATTCACACCTGTAATCCCCGCAGTTGGGAAGTAGAATCAGGAGGATCAAGGTCATCCTTGGCTATAGAGTAAGTTCAAGGCCTCAAGACCGGCCTGGGCTACCAGAGACATTCTTTTTTTTTTTTTTTTGAGACAGGATTTCTCTATGTAGCCTTGGATGTCCTGTAACTGGCTCTGTAGAACAGGCTGGCCTCGAGTTCACAGATATCCACCTGCTTCTGCCTCTCAAGTGCTGGGATTAAAGGCATGCCCCACCACTGCCTGGCTGATCTTACCTTAAAAATATAAAAAAATAGGGCTGGGAAGACTAAGGTGCTAGAGTGAGTGAGGACCTCAGCTGGAATCCCCAGAACTCATATAAAGCTGTGTGCAGTAGCACATAGTTGTAATCCCCGCACTCCATGAGCCAGATGGAGGATGGAGATGTAGAATCCACAGAAGCGCCTGGACTAGCTCACATGGAACACACAATGGCAAACAAGAGACCCTGTCTCAAACAAGATAGAAGGCAAAGACTCCAAGGTTGTCCTCTGACCTCTACATGTTGGGAACAGGGAAAGCACCTTGTCCTGAGTACTGCCATTTTGACTTCAGACTTCATTTTACCAGTAGGGTGAAACAAAGTTCAAGTTCCCAGGCCCTGGGGCAGTTGGAGACTTTCCAATTGCTAACCCACCTCCTCCTTAAATAAGAGAAATAGTCTGTTACACATCTTTAGTTCTCTAAAAAACATTATGGCTGTTCCTAACAACAAAAAGAACCAGTGAATGTGATTGCTTGGACTGAAAAGCTTACATTCTGTGGGGATTGACAATGATGGAACACATAGGGAAAGCCCTAATCTTTGAATCCTGATTGGTGGGAAAATTGTAACTGTGACTTATTATAAAAGAAAAACAAGCTGAGCATGATGGTACAGGCCTTTAATCCTAGCACTCAGGAGGCAGAGACAGGAGGATCTCTGAGTTCGAGGCTAGCTTGGTCTATAGAATGTGTTCCAGGACAGCCAGAGCTGTTACACTGTTTTGAAAAAACAAAACAAACAACAAATAAAAAAAAAGGAAGAAAAAGAAAGAAAGGAAGAAAAAATCAGGCTATGGTGGCTCATAGCTATTTCCCTATCCAGCCAAGAAGCAAAAGAGGGGTGCCAACTCATTATTTGCTTTCTCCTTTTCCTCTTTTATATCCCATGCTCAGCCAGGTGGTGGTGGTGCATGACTTTACTGCCAGTACATGGAAGGCAGAGGCAGGCAGATCTTTTGAGTTTGAGGCCAGCCTGGTCTATAGCCAGGACAGCCAGAGCTACACAGAGAAACTCTGTCTCAAAAAAAAAAAAAAAAAAGTGTGCCCTTCAATCCATGGAATGGCGCCACCCACATTCAGGCCAAGAACTGAGTTAATCCTCTCCAGTTAATCCAGGGTTCAGTTAATCCTATCCAGAAACACCTGAGCAGACATGCACAGGGGTTTGCCTCAATCTTCTATGTGATTCTAAGTCAAGCCAAATGGATACAGATAATGAACAATCAAGAACTGTTTGCATTGTGCTCTCGACTTGGTCCTGTCCTCGCGTAAGGACTCTTGTGGAGCTGCAGGCTTTACACACAGACAAAAAGTGCTCCGTTACCATGAAGGAAAAGAACAGCTAGCGTAGCTTAGTTCCAGCCCCAAAGGAATGGCTTTTGAGCAAATAGATTTTGAAAATTAACTAGCAGATTCAAATCTTCAAAATGGAATTCGCATCTGCATATATACAGGTGCGTTCCCACTGGTATTAAAACAAAACTCCTCTGAACCAACACAAAGTTATTCCAGAAGTAATACTAAATACCACTGCAGCCTTGCAGGGATCAATACTTCCCAGTCATCAGATCGCCTTGGCTTTGAACTCATGGAAATGTCTACTTCGTTCACCTAGCTGACATTGTGCCAATGCCATGATTTTTGTGGCTGTTCTTCTTTCCCCTGTGTTAGAACGTCCAACTTACCCTGTTTGGATCAGAGTGGATTTTGTATGATAGCTGTCATTTTTTTTTTTTTAATTTACTGAGGTTTGTGAATGAAGTCCTGTATATTGGTGAGAGCATGCATTTAAAGAAAAAGCCACACTCCCATTGTGTCTGTTATGGCCAGGCAGCTCACCGTGTTGTTCAAGTCTTAAGCGTCCTATCTGGTTGTTCTATCCATGAGAGATGGAAGGGTTGTTTGTTTGGTTGGTTGGTTGGTTGATGGTGCCGGAGATCAAATTCAGTACACACTGGGCAAACACTCCACCACTGAGCTATACCTAGATGATAGGGTACTAGGGCCTCTAGCTATTATCTAGGAACATTTATCTGTGTCCCAATTCTTTCAGTATTTGCTTCATATACATTGATGGTCTATTATTAGATACAATCACATATTTCTTTTGTAATATCCACTGATCTTCAAGATACATGTTTTCTTTTTCTTTTTTTCTTTTTGTTTTGGTTTTTCGAGACAGGCTTTCTTTGTGTAGTCCTGCCTGTCCTGGAACTCCCTCTATAGAACATGTTTTCTTTAGGAGGCAGAGATAGCAGAATTCAACGTTCAAAGCCAACTGTGGCTAGTGGCAAACACTGGTACCCCCAGCACTTGGGAGTTGGAGGAAGGAGAGGGAATTGGGAGTTCAAAGTCATTCTCAGCTAGCTACAAAGCCAGTTTAGGTTACTTAAGACCCTGTCTCTTAGCTGGACATGACTTTAATCCCAGCACTCGGGAGGCAGAGACAGGAGGATCTCTGAGTTCGAGGCCAGGGGCTACACAGAGAGAAGACTCTTTCTCCACAAAAGAAAACAAACAAGGGGGCTGGAGAGATGGCTCAGAGGTTAAGAGCACTGACTGCTCTTCCAGAGGTCCTGAGTTCAATTCCCAGCAACCACATGGTGGCTCACAACCATTTGTAATGAGATCTGGTGCCCTCTTCTGGCCTGCAGTCATATATGTTGTATACATAATAAATAAATAAATCTTTAAAAAAAAAAAAGAAAACAAACAAAACCAAAACCCAACCACAAGATCCAAAAGCTTTGCTTATTCTCCTGTGCCTTGGAAACATATCACCTGCTCAAAGTAAGTGCGTTCTAATTTTCTACTGTGCAAGCAACACCGAGACTGTCCCCAGATGTCTTCCTGTTCTTTCCTGTTGTTGTGTCACAACTCGGACAAAAATAACTTAGAGGAAACTTGGAATGCCCAGAGGCAGTGGCAGCTGGGTCTGGTTGGAACACATCTATAACCCTAGCTTGGCCAGAATGTGCAATGTTCTAGGTGCAATCTGGAGGACTGCAAAAACAAACAAACCCAACAACTACAAGCTGGGCATCATTTTCAAATGTCCAGCTCGTGGCTGGAGAG